ATCTCCTGGGAAGGAGGGGAGGCACCGAGATGCTAGACAGGTGGCCGAGAGTGAAGGGAAACCGATGGAAGGAGAGATGGGAGGTGGGTGGGAGGGTGGGGGACACCTCCACATTGCTCCCGTTCCCCCCTCTTCTCCTTTCCACGGGTCCTAACAGTCGTGGCCCCAGGAACGGCCTGCACCACCACCACCAACCTTGCCCAGACTTCAAAGCCACAACGCTGCCAGCCGAGTTCCCTTATCATTGGCTCCAAATGTCTGCCTTTTTCCCGTCGTCTTATCTGACAATCCCCAGGGCTTACTAGGTTCAACAGCAGCCCAGCGTGTGACACGTGGGCCTGGGCACCACTCACATTGTTTGGGGTCTGTTTGATCATGAGCTGCAGCTCCAAGGAAGACTGGCGCATGGTCCACTGGTCCAAGTTCTGTGATAGAGACCCCATGCCCAAGCTAGTCATCATCGTGTCACCACAGCCAGTCATGCCCCCAAGGCCACTTCCTGATCAGTCGTAACCTTGAATCATATACCTAAGAGGACTTCTATGCACCTGGCTCTAGGAAAGACGACATCTAAACAATCCTAAATTGCTCCTATTTTAAAAGTGCTTCCGGAACGGCTTTCGCGTCTCTCGGTTTCCCGGTCCAGGCCCTCGCTCTCCTTAGCACCAGGAAGTTCTACTTAACGCTCTACCCGAACCCTTGACGTTGACATCGAAGCCTGTTTCTCCTATTTCAAGCCAGCTGCTCGAGGTCCTGTACGGACCCCAAGGCCACTGTTAGCTAATCTCTCTTGGGCATTACGTGCTCTGAGCCGAAGCCACCTCATTCCTTTACCTCTCCCCTCGATGGCTTTATTTTTCTAGCCTTCACCGGGCGGCAAACTGGGCCTCCCAGATGCTCCGCCTGCACTGAAAAGCCGCAGCCCCCTCCAGCCAGAGCCGTGCCCTGCCCGACGGCAGACTCTAGGGCACGGGCCGTTTGGCCTCGCCTCCTACAGCCAGGCTGGAGCTGCTCCTCACCGCCCCTCGCACACGCCCGCCGAGGCCCGCACCACCGTGGCCTACCTGCAGAATGCGCTTAATGCGCTGCCGCTGGGGGTTCTCCCCGTCCTCGCTGTCCAGCAGCCGGTGTGGGTAGCAGATGAGCTGCATGAGGCGCTGGGCCTGGGCGCTACTCAGCACTGGGTCCTGTAGGTCATTGCTGTCTTCGCACAGCGACTTAAGGCAGCGTTCTCCTACCCATTCCTGAGGAAGCTGACCATCAGGGGACTGGGGCAACCAGGGAGGGGGTCAGGAGTGACGGGGACGGGCTGGGGGCCGCTGAGAGACACGGTGTGTAGGAGGGGGGTGGCGCGACCGTGTTACGTTGAGGCGTCTGGGGGGAGGAGACACTGACCTGCTGGCAGATGCTGCGCAGCACGTACTTGGCATAGACATCCAGACTGGCTGTCTCCACGGAGATGTTGCGGCCACCCTGCCTCCGACCGCCACCACCTCCTCCACCCTCCTCCTCTGGAAGTTCTTCTGTTCCTCCTGTCACGGTGAACCCTGAACCCTTCAGTTCCGCATCCCCTGTGGTCCGCGGGCGGGAGATAGGGCGAGCAGCGTGAGATCCGAACACTGTGCGGACACCCGCCCCGGACCCACAGAGGCAGCGACTCCCCAGATCCTGCCCCATGGGACAGAAATACACTTTCTCCCCGAAGGTCTGGAAGACCACCTTCGGGGCAGAGAAAGACTGCCCTCTGTAGTTTAGCTGGCACCCCACCCTGCACACACTCCGGCCCCCGCGCCCCTCCTCCCCCCATACCGAGGACAAACACGGCCTTGAGAACGGCGAACACAGCGCCGTCCACGATGCGGTTCTGGGAGGCAGCCAGCAGGTGGCGGTCACAGGAGGAGCGGATTCCTACAGTGGGCTTGTCTGCGGAGGGAGCCGAAGTCAGGGAAGCAAAGCAGAAAGGCCGGGGAGTAGAGGAGCTCGGACTGGGTCACTTACTTCCATCCGACTGGCAAGGATTGAGCTGAGGTGTCTTGAAAAGGTGGAGGAGGATGCGGCAGGTGAGCCGGGCTCCCGGCTCGGAGTCCTGTTCACTGCAAGCTAAAAAAAAAAAGGAAGATGGAGCCGATCGGACAGAATGAAAGTAGAGTGTACGTGAACTTGGGGGCGGGTGGCTAAAAGATGAGGTCAGGCAAAAGGAGAGGAAAAGGGACTTCCTGGAAGGCTACAGGAAGGGAAGGTCAGGGTTAGAAAAAAGGCTCCCCCAAACTGAGGCACAGAACGGGACAGGCCCCTGGTGACACCGGGGAGCCCCACACTGAGCACCAAGAGTGCGGCCATCGAGTGTGCACTGGAATCTGGGGTCCAGAAATTCTAGGGGTTCCGGATTGCTAGTTCACCGGCATTAAGGAGCGAAGGGATGGCGGCACAGCGGATCAGATCTTCTAGGAGCAAACACTGGCGAGCGATGAGGATGGCGACGAAAGTCGCCAGGGAGTCATGAAAAGACAGGTCGCTGACCTGGAGGAAAAAGCAGGCAGACGTCATGACTCAGCGTGGAGACAGAGTGCCTCCCTCCACTCTACGAAACTCTGTCCCTGCATCGCCCTGAGTACAGTGACCAGGCTCCCACCCTGCTAAGTGCCCCATGCCCCGGCAGGACCCTGCCACGTCTCACATCCACATTGCAGAGGAGATCGTTGAAGCCACAAGTGCCATTGTTGGAAGAGCAACACAAGGCCTTAAGGACCCCCAGCCACTCCGCACTCAGTGACTTGCAGTAGCCGGTCAGCTCTGCACACAGGATCGCGATGTCATTCACCCTGCAGAGAAGTCCGAATGCCCTCAGGAAAAACCGTTCCGCCAAACCTCAGACTCACTGACTTCCTCTCCACCCCGTGATGCGTGATGCGGGCATCTCGTCCCTCCCCACAGGGGATGGAACAGCCTGTCCCCGCCGCTCAGCCTGCCCCATACCTATCGGGATCATGGTGGCCCACGCAGACGTGCATGAGGGCGTTGCAGACGAAGCTGTAGCGGTTAGCAGGGTTCTCGCTCAGACTCTTGCCTAGGCCCGTGTAGGTGAACGTGTGAGCTGCCGGGTTCTCCAGGGTATCGATCATGAACTCGGGCGCCCAGCGCATGTTGGATTCTGACGGTTCCACGTTGCAGTAGATGGTGTTCTTGACCTTGGAGCAGAAGTCGCTGCAGGGGTGGGGGAAGGAGATAGTAGTGTTGAAGGTCTGGTGAGGTGGAGGGATGGTCGGCGAGGGGGAGAAAAGGAGAGAGGAGAAAGTGAGCGACGAGGGACCTTGGGACAAGAAAAAGGGAGGTAGGGCGAAGCAGAGCGGGCGAGGAAGGAACCCAGGGAGCAGGGTGGGCTGGGGCAAGGCCGGCGAGGAGGAAGGCCCGCTCTCGGGACCCCATAGCACGTGGAGGACAGACCTCAAGCGCCCCCGCAGAGAGACCAGGGTCCTGGGCTGTGCTCTGCTCCCGAGGCGGGCGCCAATGGGAAGGAGACGGGACGACGTCCCCCTCCCTACCCCTTACCTCCCACCTCTCTTACCTGAAAAGCTCCCCAAATTTGCTCTTTAAATGGCTACAGGAGGTGTAGAGATCATAGAGATAAGCAAGGATACAGCGTTCTGCAGAGGAACCATCCGACCGGTTCATCCCATGCTTCACTACGCCGCACAGCCTGGCACGAGGGGGCAAGGTCAGGAGGGTCACCAGATCGTGTGCAGGGGCTGGGGCGTGAAGGTACCAGGACACAGATTCAAGTCTCTTGGTGATACGACCCCCCCCACCCACTGCCAATGGCGCGCGCTTCCCACAGTGAGAAAGCCGCGTGTCCTTCACAGGCCCCTTCCGCCCGCATTTCGGTGCCCCAGGAGCCCCGCTTACCCCTCAAAGACCTGTGTCATCTGGTCCTGGTTGAGGATGAGGCAGGCGTGGTAGTGCCGCAGGACGGCCACGATGCACAGGCACAGGCTGGTCGTGTAGCTGCCCACCAGGTCCGAGGACTTGAGCAGCAACTCGGCCTCCACTACGCTCAGTTCGTTCAGAAGCTAGCGGAGTGACCAGGGGGTGCGGAATGAGATGCGGCCCGCACTGTGGAGGGGCCCCCGCACCCTGCTGGAGCTGCCCCGGTGCGGGAGGGCACCGTTGCCACGGGCTACCGTCCTTTACTCTATGAACGGCACCGGCGCATCCGCAATGCGCCCGGGGGCCAGGACACAGGTCTGGGAAGCTCACAGCGGGACGACAGTCTGCCCCTTGCTCTAGTCTCTCCCGAGCCTCCCCAGGGAGAACCTGAGTCGCCCCTCCTGCCGTCTCGGCTCCCGGTCCAGTCCCCCGTGCTAGCCTTCCTGCCCCTCCGGATAGCCTGGGGCTCTGGCCCAAGTCCCGAGTCCCGAGTCCCTTGCTCCGTACCCTGCACTGCCAACTCCTTCCCCCACGCTCGTCGCCCCAACCTCCCCACCTGAATGGCAAAGTCGATGAGGCCACTGATGCTGAGGGAGTACTCCATGAGGTCGAAGATGAACTGCACGTGCTGCACCAGAGGCAAGTGATACGACATGCCGAGGGCGAAGCTCGTGATCTGCTCCAGAACGTTCCGGGACACCTGCGGAGGGCCGCGGGAGTGAGCCGGGAGTGGCGAGGGGGAGGGCGGAGGGCATGACACCGGGAGGCTTAGGCTGTCTGGGGGTGCGGCGAGGAAAGGGAAACGGGACAGGGCGCCAGGGTGCGGGCAGGGGCCTGGCTGAGGCCCGCACCTGCGCCGTGACCTGGTGCTGGTCGTAGTGTGAAAGGTGCTGGAACTTGGCAAAGATGTCTTCGGCGGTGGGGAAGGCTTCGGGCCGGGTGCGGCGCCGCTTCTGCCCATCCTCCCCACCTGAGGGCACGGTTGAAAGGGACCAGGCAGGAAAGGGAAGATAACTGGTTGACTGGGGGTGGGGAAGCGGGGTGTGGAGAAGATGCTATGCGTGGGTAGGTGGGGAGGGAACGGGTTGAGGGAGGGAGGGAACAGGGAGGACTGGGGGCGGGGCGAAGGGGCGACCAGGTGGGCCTTAGAGGAACGCACGCAGGGGGCGCTGGGCTGAGGGGGACGGGGGGGAGCAGGGCTGGCGGCACGGGGCTTACTGCGAGGTACCTAAGAATGTCAGGTCTCCAGGGTCCAGAGGCAGAATGGGAGCAAGCTGGTCTGCAGAGGGGGGAAACGGGGCGAGTTTCAAAAGGACTAGAGCCCTCAGGGGACCCCAAGAGACAGAATACTGGGACGTGACCGGGAGCGCCCTGCACTGGGGAGGGGAACGCTGCCTAGGGCGCCCTTCAGGGAAGGTCTGCTGGGGGGGGCCTGGAACCCACCAGTCTCCGCGGTCCCTTTGCGGTTCAGAACCTTCAGGATATCCTTGGTAATCTTCTTGATGGCATGGCGGGCATCGTCTCGCTGCTTTCCCACCCCAAACAGTACGACCAGCCGCTGGTTGCACTCATGGCTGCACGACTCCTCCTGCATCCAGCGCGGCGGCACTGTCACACTCGGGCACGGTGGCACCGTCACACTCGGGCACGGCGGCACCGTCACACTCGGGCACGGTGGCACCGTCACACTCGGGCACGGTGTCGTCCCTGTTCTCACGACCACGCGCCACCCCCTCGGCGGCCAAGCGCTCCGGCCCTGCCTGGCGCGCTGCACCCGCACCCTCTTGAAAGGCGCCAACCCCTCCGCAAGGTCACGGTCGGTCGTGGACTCAAGACGGCTGGGGGCCAGGCGCTCGGAACAGTACCTGGGGGATGGGGAAGTGCGTGGCATACTGCACGTGGCGCGGCTGGTCGTACAGGATCCCGAGAGTCCCTTCCAGCTTCTCCTTGGCGGGTGGCTTCACGTCCTTCTCAACGTCTGCTTTCTCGGGGGACGGGCTGCCCTTCCCCTCACAGGGCATAGTTGGGGAGAACAGCTGAGAAAGGTGGGGAGGGGTTTGCCGCTTAGAGGACGCAAAGGCCGGGGGACACGAGGAGACGTGGCGGGCTCGGACTCACCGAGAAGTCGGGCTTCTCCATGTCCTCGAAGAGCACACTGGAATTCGGGTCGATGTCCATGGACTCCGAGAGCCCGGGATCCTGAGGGCACAGAACACAAGTGCAGGGGCTTTAGGCCCTGGGAACTGCTCCCCCATCTAGGAAAGGTGGCAGGGGAGTTGGAGGCAGGAGACCGTGCTGGGGAAAGCCCGGGGTCCGGATTCACGCGTTGACCAGGCATTGAACGACATGGACCTGTTTCCTGCAGCTTGAAAATGGGGATACGGGTACCCCACAGGGCGGTCACGGAGATGCGACAGTGCCTCGTGATCGGGGGAATCTGGGGACCAGGAGGACGGGAACGGAGGAGGAAGCCGTCGCAGGCCAGGAGGAGCTCGCTCACCTCGAGCTTGCTGCTGCTGCTGCCCTCGGCCTCCTTGCGCTCTGGGTCATCAGCAGGGTCGTCAAAGGGAGACGGAGGCCGGGGCCCAGGGGCTCCAAAGGCCAGGTCCCCCCGGGAGATGAGTGTGCAAGTGTACATGTTGTGGGAGAAAACATCATGTCGGATGAGTTCACAGAACAGCAGCACCAAGTTAAAGAACTCCACCCGCTCGCTCTCACTCCGGGGGTCCGCTGCACGGGAGGCAATGAGAAGAGCCGAGTTAGGGGAGCACGGAGGCCACGCCTGAGGTGCGCTCTGCGGAGGGGGAGGCAGGGAGGACCAAGCCAAGCCAAAAACTGCTGAGGAACGAAGCACGCTGCGGCACCCCACCTCCTGCCCCCCCCCACCAGCTCGTCAAGGAATGGGGCATCTCTGCCACTAAGTATCCGTGACGATGCTTTGATGGCAGCTTCTGGTTTTTATTCTTTTTCTCTACGCCGTTAAACTAGAAGATGACCAAAGACTAGAATCACGTCCAAAAGTCACTCTGCGTAGAGCCCGAGACAGAAATATATACCAGAAGGCCCTCGATTATGCTTTCTGATGACAGTAGCAGGTAATGAGTCTAGGCCGAGGTAAGCAGAGGGTGGCAGGGGTCCGTACTCAGCATGGGAGCCTGTGTGTCCAGAAACTGCAAGAGGACATCCTGGAAAATGGGAGCACTGGGAGCAGAAAGGGAACCAGAGGCGATGGAACCTTTCTCGTCGGCGCCTTCGGATTCTCCGCAGCGCTGTAAGAGAGGACAAGCTGCGGGGCTGCTCTCTCCGTCTCACGCGCCTTCGTCCTCGCGACGCGGGAGGACCGCCCGCTCGCGTGCGCCCCCAGCTGTCCACTCCCGCTGCCCCTGCGACCTCCACGTTCTGCTCCGCCTCCCGACCGGAGCCTCGATGGTGGCTCTAGCTCCGACAGCGGTCCACTGCTTTCTACTTTGGCCTGTTGTCCTCGACTTTATCGTCACAACTTCCACGCTGGTCCCACCACCAGCTCAAGCGTCACCGACCCCAGTTGCCTGCCACCGCCCCACCTGCTAAGCGCGCTCTTCGATCTCCGCCCCCAACCTCGGCCTCGATCTCTGCCTGTCTCTTCTCCAGCAGCTTGGCCACCACCATGGCACGGTGCCGACCCGAACGCTTGCAGCTGACAGCCCATTCGCACAGTAGTGATACCACAGCATCGTCATCTGACGAGATCTGGAGACCAAAGGAGGACAGGGGTGAGGACAGTAGCGCTGGGGACCGCAAACCGAACGCCACCTTCTTAAAGAACAGGTCCCGTCCTCACACGCCCTGGGCCGGTCGGCTGTCTGCTCAGACGCGCCGCGGACCCCACGCCTCGCCACGCCTCCCCGCGCTGTTTGCTGCTCACTCGGTGTCCCTTCTTGCGTACCTCGTGCCCATCCTTGCTGGGCCCCAGTCCGAAGATCCGGTTACAGAGGGAGTCGAGGGAGTTGCTGAAGTCGGAGCGCTCGAAGCTATGGCTGTCCAGCACCTCCAAAGTGTGGAGCACCCGTCCAATGGTGAAGCCTACGCAACGGAAGTGGCAAAGGGGACTTTCGGGGGCCTGCTGCGATCCGGCTCTCAGACTCCTGTGTCCTCGCCACCCCACCCTTTCCCCAAACGTCCTTCTTACCACCCGTTCCCCTGGCGCCCACCTGCAGTCGCTTCCTGGCACTTATCAAAAGACCAGCGAACCTCGACGGCCTGTCCTCGCTCCTTGATCTGCTGCTCAATCTCCCGCAACTTTGCGCGGACCTGCGACACCGAAAAGGCGGGCAAAAGGGCGGGGCCCCGGGCTCCAGTGCCACACTCCGAGTCACTACTTCTGAAAGCGCAACTGGGCCTCGCCTCTCGATCTGGGGGTACCAGGTGATTGGTCCGACTTACCTGCTGAGTGAAGGCACTGTTGCCATCGGGCATGGGCAGGTTGGAGGGGGCGATTGGTAGGTGGTCAAGCGGCGAGCCGGTTTTAATTCGGCTATCAGTCAGCGAGTAGTGCCAGACCAGGGCACTGGGACAGCACAGGAGGATGGTCTGCCAGACAGGAACCGGAAGCCAAACTCAGTGACCAGGGCTTCCGGTCCAGAAGCCCACTCGTTGCAAGACCCAGGCCTTAAGAGCTCTGATCCAAAGTAATTCTGAGTACCTGGGTGGCATCACTCCATCCCCGAGGCCCTTCCCACACCCACTCTCCTAAAAGCCTTCGGGCCTACTACGTGGCCCCGGAAGAGAACTAAGTGAAAAGGAACGAAGCCCCCGTGAATGACAAGCCATCGCCCCAAGGAAATAGCCAGTGCCGACTCTCCCCTCCAATTCACGATTACCCCCGTTGTCCAGGACAGGCACCCAGCTCCTGTCGGGATGCCTCTCAGTACGCCCCTGGGCCCACCCAGCCTACCTGAAGGATGCAGCTGAGGCCGAAAACCAGGGGGCGGTGCTGAGGGCACATGAGCAGGTCGCTAAAGGGCGTGGAGGGTGTGCTACTGGTTGGGGGCTGAGGGGCAGGGGCGGTGGGCAGTGTGCTTGTCGACTGAGCAGACATGACATGAGACGAGTGACTACTGGTGCCATCCAGCTGCAGGGCCAGTCTCCGCGTGCAGAAGTAGGCGAGGCGGCGGGAGAGGTACGCAGACTGGACGAACTCCCCAGAGTACTGCAAAGACAGGACGTGCGAAGCCCCAGTTCTCCCCAAGGGACCGTGCGCTGATGTGTCATCCCTCCTCGAATCCTCCCTGAACCCCCTAAATCCCAAGCCTTACTCGAAGCAGCAGGGGCAGCAACAGTTTAAGCAGTTCGTCCTCTCCAGGGCGGATTTTCTCGAAACACTCGAGAACCCAGGTCAGGAACTCGTGCCTGTCCAGCATGCCATCCTGTGGGGACCAGGGGCGGCGGGAGCATTAGTTTGGCCCAGGGACTATTAGAGATGAGGCAGATGAAGTCAATGGCCGGATGGAGAGGACCACGACCGGGCCAAGGTGGCAGGCCGATTCCGTTCCCTACCAGCAAAGTGAGCGATCAGGCTCAACGCAATGTCCCCGCACGACAGGCCCTACTTCCTACCTGAAACATGAACATGGCCAGCTTCTCATTGTAGTCCCACTGCCGGATCGCCACCTCTACATCATGGGGCAAGGGCCCTATGGTGGAACCACAGCCCCCACTGCCCGCAGGCCCTGGCCGGTAGTACTCAGCCATCTTTTGCAGCTGCTCCCACAAATACTTCGTGATGATCTGAGTCCATTCTGAGGAAAAGATGGGAAAAGACTATCATATACCGGCCCTCTGCTTAGAACAGGTTCTGTCCCCTACCTCGTCCCTGGTCGCCATACAGCAGCCCCCCCGCCCCCATCCACAGTTGCTCTTTGTGCGGTTTCAGGTACCCACGCTCAACTGTGGTCCAAAAATGTTAAATTTCCCCAACCATCGATACTGTCTGTTCCTGATATCGAGGTCCAAAAATGTTAAATTTCCCCAACCATCGATACTGTCTGTTCCTGATATCGAGGTCCAAAAATGTTAAATTTCCCCAACCATCGATACAGTCTGTTCCTGATATCCAGGTCCAAAAATGTTAAATTTCCCCAACCATCGATACTGTCTGTTCCTGATATCGAGGTCCAAAAATGTTAAATTTCCCCAACCATCGATACTGTCTGTTCCTGATAACGAGCCATCGACACTGTCAGGCTCCATGACGCAGGTTCGCCCAAAGCAGATAATCCTCCCTCTGACATTTTGTCAGAAGGTCTACAGCAGCCTAACGCTATATCACGATGCGGACGTCATTGACCTCGCTTCACTTCGGCACAGAGGCACTGTGTCCCCTCGCATTGTCACAAGAAGGGCGTGTACAGTACAATAAGATATTTCAAGAGAGAGAAACCACGTTCTCACACAACTTGGATCACAGTATATTGTCACAATTGTTCCATTTTCTTATTTGTTACTGTCTTTCTTCTCTGTGTCTAACTGATAAATTACTTTATCATGGGTCTGTATGTACAGGAAAAGACACAGTATCTAGAGTGTTCCAACTCTCCGCGCTCTCAGGCCTCCACTGGGGGTCTTGGAGCACGTCCGCCCCAGATTAGGAGAGACAACTGTACTTCTAGATCCTGTCTATCCTCTTAGGCTCTTAGTTAAATGCCACCTTCCTGAAGCCTTCCCAGGGGTCCCCAAAAGAAAGCAATCTTTCTGTCCACTGAAGTCTCAAAGAAGCTTTTGCTTTCCGTATTTAATGATGGGATTCGCTCACATGCCTCGGCAGCCCTACTGGACTGCAAGCTCCCGAAGGGCAGGGGTTAGGTGCTGGTCATCGTCACGGGCCAGCACACGTACACAGTAGGTATGCCAGGTAGCCACTGGTCACTGATTGTGGGAATGCAACGTACGAGCAGAAGGGAGGAATACAGACGGCCGAAGGTCTATCGCTCCTTAAAGCGATCAGCGGTGGGACCCCTGGTATTAGGAGTTACTCACCCATGAAGGGGTCAATGACATGTCTCTTCTTAACCTTGGTCTCACTGATTGCTGCATAGTAGGCACAGGTCATCTTAATGAGCCAGGCGGCCCTCATCACAGGCACTGTGTATTTGGCTAAGTACCCAAACACTTCTTCCTTCTTATTGAAAATGGGGACCTGATGGGACATCGCAAATCATGAGACCTCTATCACCCCCACGAGCTGGCAGCCAATTAGCTCGATGTGAGTGAGACTAGGAGGGTACTCGGTACCCATGCTGACCCCCTCGGCCTGAGGACAGGGAACCATCTCTCACCTTCTTGGCTAGTTGTGTGAGTGGCTTGGTGCCAGCCAGGTCAGTGAACCAGGTGTTAATGGCAGTCTGGGATCGCGGAGTCACCAGCCAGAAGTTGTCCTTCTGGTTCACTTGGGGCTTCCTGCGACCAGTGTCGGGGAAGGTGTTACAACGTAACTTCTCTGCAATGATGCTGCTGAAGTTAGAGCTGATCTGAGGAGAAAAAAGGGCAGAAAAGTGGTTGTGCCTCTGCTGGGCCAGTGGCAAACACTGGGGGAGCAGTAGCTTATAAAGGAAAAGTCAGCCACTGAGGTCGGGCCTTCGCTCCTTCTCAGATTCTTGCAGCCTTTGCCTTCAGCCTGGCAGGCTTTTCTCACCTTGGCAGGATTGAAGTTGACGTTCTTGGCACTGCCGTGTTCATCCCCAGAGACGGCAGGCTGGTTATTGAACCCTTGTTTCACATTCAAGGCCGTGAGTTCGTCCTGAGGCAGGAAAACAACATTGTAGCGTTTTGTTTCCTCGGGCGCTGGGGTGGCGGGCAAGGTCGGCCGGGGAAGGCAGGGGGAGAAGCGGGCCAGGTAGGAGGATGCCGAGGCGCTCGGGTTGTTACTCCGAGGTAGGCCCCGGGATGGGTTCGGACCCCACCCTCGCGCCCACCGTCC